TTAGAAAAAGACCTTTCCAATTTACATAAGGAAGGTATTGCTATATGAAGCAAAAAGTATTAGACAATTTACCATCCTAAAATGACTTGGTAAATAACTTTTTTGAAGAGTATAGTATAAGTTGTATCTTCTTCATGAATACTCTTTGGTTTCTTTCTTCCCATCGATTCTTAAGGAAAATCAATATAGATATTTTACATTCTTGAAGGGGTACGTTAAGGCCATGTCTAGTAACTCTTTTACCTTCTTAGAAAAAGTGAGATAGTCTTATGAAGATATTGAGTATCTTATCATAAACCAAATGAAACATTATTTTCCAACAATCATTCAACGTATCATTTGATAATGTACTTTCTACTCCTTGGTGTTGACCAATTTCAGTCTTTTTCGATGCTTTTTTGTTCACTCAGCATGGAGGTGGGCAGGTATTCAAGACCTTACAGTGGTTACTAAAGAGTCTAAATAGGGAGAAATTTTCAGTCGGAGTCATCGTAGTGGAAGATGAGTACAAGGCATCCCGTCACTTGAAGCAATGTGCCTCGGAACAAGGGATACCCTTGATGGTAAGTAATTGCTTGCCCTTCCTAATCGTATTGGTTGAATTATTAGAAGATAAAGCAATCCACTATTCGGATAACTAAAATCATACAAAATTATGCTACATGGGTTGATTCAAAATCATATTTTCAAAAATATCCAAGTTTTTTAAAATTTTCAGTTTTAGATTTGCTGGTCTGTTTTATGCATCTTCTTACAATTTTACCCCTCCATGCAATAAGTTTATCGCTCCACAATTATCAAGCTCATTTATTTTAATTTATTAAGTTATAGTAATACTTAATATGAATTCAATACTCAAAACTTTATTTCCATATTAAATGATGAAATATTTTTCCTTATTATGCCCGAATCACATTAAATTTTCAAAACCCACCATTTCTTCTCCATTTTTCTCCGATTAGCACGAGCAATATCATTTCCTTTTCTTGTCGTTTGTTCTCTGTTAGATTATTTAGCTTTACACGTTTCTATTATTTGATTGAATATCTTCCTTTGACCATTTGTTGAATGGATTACCAACTTTTTAGATGACCATTTTGTAGGAAGTATCACAGATTTAGTTGGACAATCGGCCATTTTTATGATAAGTTAAATATTTAAACAGTGAATCTCATTTTATGCAAAAGTCTTCGTCAATTTTCTCTCGGTTATTTTTCGCATTTTTATTTTCTTTCAACAACTTCCGATCAAACATATTTCCTCTCACCAAAAATGATTTCACTTACAGATTATCCTTGCCGATTGTGGAAAAAACAACATTCTCTACTCTTTTCTTCAATTTTTATTATGTCTCATTTCCCTAACGTCCAATTTTTGGCATTTCTTTATGAATTTTCTAGTTTTCGGTCTCCGTTTTCCTGCAACCTTGTATTCATTTTACTGTCTTCAATTTTCTGTCACTCACCATCTACATTTTTTTTAGGTATTTTCAGTCATTTTTCTTATGGTTTTCCTATCTATGTTGTTTAATCCTAAATCATATTCTTTTGCTCTGGCTTGTTACAGTCTACAAAATGGGTCATAAAGAGCTTACACTTGGGAGAGCTCCTTCCTTTGACGGACAAAAATCGGCCGTCTTCTGTACAATCTATAAAAACGGCAAATATTCCAGCTTTCAGAGAAACTAGCGTGGAATTATAAGTTGCTGCTTCAGACTTATTTATGAGGTAAATCTTTAATACAAGCCTAAGCATTAGTTCTAGGAGTGTGTGTGATTATTTTGTTTTTCTATTCATTGTTAGTCACTTTAGAGATCCAACAACATTAAATAGTACTATTATATATTTAAAATTCGATTGCTTTTTATTTTTCTACCCAAATATTTTATCTATGCGCATTTGTGTTTTCTGGTTGTTGAACTCAAATATTCATTTACTACTTGCAGGATAGATTGGACTTTGGGCTGTACAATTTTTTTATTGAGTTGGATGGCGAAAGGTAATTCCTGTAAATTTTCGTACTTACGCCTCAAACTAATAGAAAAATATATAAATGAGAATTTTGACCAAACAGTAAAGCCCTTTTTCTTTTGTTTTTTTTTTTTTTTTTTTTTTTTTTTTTTTTTTTTTTCTTTCCTTC